TAGTAACTTGTCTAATTATGTTAACAACATACTAGTAACATGCTAATCATACTAGAAACATGCTAGTAACTTGATAAACATGCTAGAAGCATGTTAGCATAATGCTAGTAACATGTTTATCATGCTAGAATCATGCTAGTAACATGCTAATGATGCTAGAATCATGATAACAACACGCAAGTAATTTGCTAATCATGTTAACAACATAATAGTAATTTGCTAATCATGTTAACAAAATGCTAGTAACATGCTAATCATGCTAGAAACATCTTAGTAACTTGCTAATAATGATAACAACACGTGAGTAACATGTTAATCATGTTAGAAACATGTTATTAACTTGTTAATCATGCTAACAAAATGTTAACACCATGCTAGTAACATGTTAATCATGCTAGCAAAATGCTAGTAACTTGTCTAATTATGTTAACAACATGCTAGTAACATGCTAATCATACTAGAAACATGCTAGTAACATGCTAATCATGCTAAGAACATGCTAGTGACATGCTAATCCTGTTAGAAACATGCTAATAACGTGCTAATCATGCTAACAAAATGTTAACACCATGCTTGTAACATGCTAATCATGCTCGCAACGTTACTAACTTGCTAATTATGACAACAGCACACTAGTAACATGCCAATCATGCTAGAAACATGCTAGTGACATGCTAATCATGCTAACAACATGCTAGTAACATGTTAAATGTGCTGGCAACATGCTAATCATGCTAGAAAAATGTTAATAATGTTAGCAACATGCTAATCATGTTAAAAACATGTTAGCAACATGCTAGTCATGTTAGAAACCTCCAAGCAACCACCCCAGGTACCCTAGCAATATGTTTTATACCTATCTGTTTTTCTGATAGACTGTATTGCCTTGAAAACATTCAAACTTTAATCTTTAAAACTATTTAACTACTTACTATTTTACTTCAAACTGACAACTTTCAGACTGCAAGCTTTTATAGCTTTTTTCAAACTTTCTAGCTAGGCTTTTTCAAGCCAACTTAAAGTTTGTCTACAAACTTTTCAATCTAGTTTTAATACACTGTCTGTCACGGCACATTTCTGTAATGTATAGCAGCACTACTATATGCATTTTTATTTTATTTAAGGGATAGTTCACTCAAAAATGAAAACTGTCATTCACCTCAAATCTGTATCACTTTGTTGAACAACAAACAATCATGATGTTTTCTTGTATTGCAATGAAGAAAAAGTCATACAAGTTTAGAATGACATAAGGATGAGTAAATTAGTATTTTTTTGGTGAACTATTACTTTAATGCTTGATGCTGTTTGGTAAAAATTGTCATTACAAAAATAAATGGAAAAAAAATGTTGTTCCGTGCTGGATCTTTAGTTCTACAGATTTTGCGCTACTGATTAAAACTGTCAGGCTGTTGTTACCGCGGATCACTGATTTAAAATGAGCTTGTGTGATAAGATATGTGCACATTAGCGACCACCTGCTTGTGCTCATTTCATTGTTTACTGGAGGTTGACACTGTTTATCTTTTCAGTATCTGTAATGGTCTGCGTGTCTCTGTGTCCTTTGTGTGTATTGGATAATGCAAATAATTAATCAGATGAAGATTATTCATATTCCCAGAGGGGTTTCATACTGTATAATCTTTCACTGCAGAATGTGTAGATTGTAACTTTTGTTCTGGAACATATTGGCAGTATGTATTGTTATCAGTATTCACATTGGGTTTCATCTGACATTATCTCATGTTAAATAAAATAGATCAAGAGAGTCACTATATATAACGGCACAATTTATTGAAAGATTCAGTGACAGCTTACATTTTTGTGATACCATGACATTATTTAAAATGTCAGATTTTTGAAAATTGTTTTTCAATGTGAAAAAACATATTTTATCAGGTACTATAATTTTTGTCACATCATTTTGTACAATATAATATTATATTATTGCACCACTCCACCATCCTCCATTCTGCATCTAGTAAGGAAACTTCCAATTATTCATTATCATCACCCACATTTCAATATTTGACTTGGCAATACTTATCTGCATTTCCATCCTTTGTCAAAGGTTGGGTCGGTAACACAACATCTCGATAGTTTTCTAGCTCACTTTAGAGACATTTTTGGATGGCCCATTGGTGATTCTTCAGTCAGTTAGCAGTAATATCATTTAAAACAAGGAAAAAGTTCTATAACTGATTATGATCTGAAGATTCGAACCCTAGCAGCATCAAGTGAATTGAACAAGTGTTCTCCTTAATACCTAACAGCAGGTACTATGCTTATATTGTGGCACTTGTGGATACTCTATTGCAGCATGTCCAATCCAACCTCCATGTCCTTCATTACTTCCTCTCTACTTAAAGTTAATGCAGGTACAATCATGGCCAACTCCAACCATAAAAGAGTTACAGCGTTTACTAAGCTTTGCAAGTTTCTACCACCGCATACAAGCTCAGAAGAACAGCCTACCAGCCTAGTTTACAGAGTCTAATCCTAAAAGTCATCTTTGACAATTCCACCTTTGAAACAAGAGGCTATTCCAGCCTTAATGCGGTCACATACCGGACGACAAGCGCAGTGCTGCGCCACACCACACCATGTCTTTAATATACGAACACATTGTTTTCTACACGCACACCGGCCTCTGTGCTTTGACCACTAAAGACCGCACTTTCTCATTCTGTTTTTTTTTTTTATCACCAAACTTCAAACTCATTGACACCACTTGTTCATTTTTGAAGTGAATGTTTGATTGTTTGGAGAGTAGATTTTTGGGGTTTGAGGTTTTGGACCGGTGTGCGACCGCCTTTCAGAAATGCAACAAGAAAACAGTGCAGCGAGAGTAATTGATATCACCAAAATAAAACATAGCTAAATGTAAGTCAAATGAAAAGCATCATTACAAATGCATCATCACACAGTCGGACTGTGCACAAAACCAACAAATGTAATGTTTAATGTAAGCCAACACATCATGACAGCGCTCACAGCAAAACAACTTAGTGACAGACACTTCATTACAAACAAGCAGTGTTTATATTAAATAATAATATTATTGACACAGCTGCCCAGTGAATGTCCTCACGTTATTTGCGGCTTCAATCGTGATGTGAATAATAACTAGTTAGTTTATCAGCGTGTATATATACAGTATATATATTTTTTTTTTAAATAAAATGCTATATGACATTACGAAATGTGCGACTGCAAATCACGTCATGATGTATTGCATTGCATGAGTTATGCATGTGTAATGAGTCAAATGTTTTTATTTTATTTAATCTTTTTTATGCATGAGGGTGCTTTGGTCTTTCTTGGGGCTGCTGGAGCACCTGCTAGCCCCTCCCTAGCTCCGCCCATGGCAGGCGGAACTTGTCATAAAGTTAGTGATAACAAGGCCAGCCCATTTAGAGTAAAGATATGATTGGTCAGTTTTTCTGTCATTTAAAATCACGATCCCATTGATTTACTATTGCTTGGCCCTCTGTAATTTCACAGCTGGACCACCAATCACAGAGCGGCAAACGCTAGGCGGAGTTCACTTAACACATTCACTGAATAGGCAGATTTGAAGAGTTTATTTCCACAGAAATTGTATTTATTTGATTTAGATGATGATTGTGAAATTATGGCTTTTTATTAAAAATAATATTTAAAAGTGTGTAATTAAAAAATATATATTTTATATTGTTTTTACAATAGTTTAGGCCCTCTCTGAGGTCTAGGCCCTGACGGTTCCCCACTGATCTATCTCCATCTGAGGTGAGTACTCTTCTTGTTCCATCTGCCCCACTCTGTCATCCTTCATTCTGCATCTGGTAAAGAAAACATCCAATTATTCATCATCATCACCCGCATTACAATATCTGGCACTACTTACCTTCATTTACATTATCGAACCGTATTAAAATGTCCTGTTTGGGAAATATCTCAGTCTCCGAGTGTAAAATTCAGTCCACTGGAGGCGAGCGTAATGAAGAACCCATGTGCAGTTTATCCACAAACGTGATCCAAAATCCAAACATAATCCAAACAGAGACTTGACTTGAACAGACATGACTTGAACAGACTTGACTTGGCATAAACCAAACTAGACTCACCAACAGCAGGTTACATCATCAATACAAGACAAGAGACAATGGCAACATGATGGCTACTTATAGCAAACAATACAGGTCACATGACATGAACCAACCAATGAGAGACAGGACACATGACTAAGACTACCAATCAGAACATGGCACAATGAACAAGAGAACCAATGGCATGAATACATGAGGGCAAGGGAAGCATGACACAAACAGGAACCATGACTAAACACCAAAATAAAAGACATGAAAACATGAACATGAAACCAAACCCAAAACAGGCGTGACACCGAGTCTGTTAAACAGTACCCTGACACATTCTATATTAATGTGAATTGCTATAAACAACATTACTTAGTTGTTATAAATGTGTGTATTTTGTCATATCGCTGTTGTCACTGGTTTATAAAAGCAATGGGTGCATGAAACCAAACCCAAAACAGGCGTGACAGATCCCCCCCTCTATGGGCGGCTCCTGATGCCCAAATGTAACACACACCCCAACCCAAAGAAAACTCAAAAAGTCCAGGAGGGTGGTGGAGCGGAGGCAGAACAGGGGGAGGGATGGAGGGTCAGGCCCATGCAGGGGAACAGGTTCAGAATCATGGCCTGGACTATGAAGCAGTGGGCAAGACCATGGGCCATGGAGCAATGGTGGGCCTGGACCATGAGGCAATGGTAGAACTAGGCTGTGGAGCAGTGGTGGGCCTCAGGCATGGAGCAAAGGTGGGCCTGGGCCATGGAGAAGAGGCAGACAATAGAGCAGAGACCACCAGGTCAGATCCAGAGGAGCATAGGGCCATGGCGGAGCTGACAGAGCAGGGAGCCATGGTGGAGCAGAGGACCACCAGGTCAGTAGTGCCGACAGGAGCAGAGATCCCCACAGTGGAACAGATGACCACCACATCAAAGCAGGTCTTCACCAAGGCGGATCAGGCAGGACTGAAACAGAGAACACAGAGAGGTTAACAGCGGCCTCTGTGGCCATGACAGGACAGGCAGAGAGTACATGGACGGCCTCCATGGCTGTGACAGGACAGGCAAAGGAGTTCCAAAGCGGACGCCGCCGCCTCAGGAGGTTCTGCAGCAGACTCATTGACAGGAGAGGCCTCTGAGGCAGATTCGTGGACAGAAGAGGCCTCTGAAGTGCAGTGTGCTGCCCAAACACTCAGGATGGCTACCACCATAACTGGAAGCACTGAGGTCAGGGGAACAGTCTCTGTGACAGCCAGTGCTGAGGCCCTGGGGATGCCAGCTGCTTGCACTGGTGACATCAGTGTTGGGTCCATCACACTGGCAATCATACTTTTCAGTCCTGGCCCAAGCTCTGCATCCGCAGGAGCTTGGGTACTATAGCCCCCCCCCCAAAAAATCCTTAGGGAAAACTTGCTTGGTAGCCGTGGCGTGAAGGGGCTCTGATGTGATGGCCGTGACGTGACGAGGCTCTGACATGGCGGCCATCTTGGCCGGGGACTCAGGCGTGGCAGTCTTGACGTGAGCAGACTCTGGAATGATGGCCATGATGGGACGAGGCTCTGGAATGGCGGCCATTTTGTACAAAGTCTCTGGGTTGGCAGCCATTATGGGACGAGACTCTTGAGTGGCGGCCATTTTGTGAAGAGACTCTTGTGTGGCCGGCATGACATGAGCAGGCCCTGGATTAGCAGGTGTGACATCAGCAGCTCTTGGATTAGCAGACATGACGTTAGCAGACTCAGTAGTAGTAGGCATGATGTGGACAACTCTTGACATGACGGTCGGGATGTGAAGATGCTCTGGTGCAGAGGGTACAGCACAGTTGCGGGGCTCCTCATCCGCAACTCCCACAGTAAACAGTGAACCAGCCAGCAAAAGAGCATGATCAATATATTTATCCAGAGACCAGTGTATTTTCCCTCCAGGTAGCAGGAAACAAATGGGTTCATTAAGATCCACCTGAAAGATGCCCTTAAGGGCCACATCATTAAAATCCACTTGGTTGCAGAGTCCACAAAAGTTCTGAACATAATCCCCAATAGCCTGATCACCTTGACAAAGGCAGACACGACAATCTGCTGGGTTCATTTTGAGGGTCTTGTATTCTGTAAAATTCAGTCCACTGGAGGCAAGCATAGTGAAGAACCCATGTGCACTTTATTCACAAACGTGATCCAAAATCCAAACATAATCCAAACAGAGACTTGACTTGAATAGACATGACTTGAACAGACTTGACTTGGTATAAAACAAACTAGACTCACCAACAGCAGGTTACATCATCAATACAAGACGAGAGACAATGGCAACAGAATGGCTACTTATAGCAAACAATACAGGTCACATGACAATAACCAACCAATGAGAGACAGGACACATGTGATCCAAAATCCAAACATAATCCAAACAGAGACTTGACTTGAATAGACTTGACTTGAACAGACTTGACTTGGTATAAAACAAACTAGACTCACCAACAGCAGGTTACATCATCAATACAAGACGAGAGACAATGGCAACAGAATGGCTACTTATAGCAAACAATACAGGTCACATGACAATAACCAACCAATGAGAGACAGGACACATATCTAAGACTACCAATCAGAACATGGCACAATGAACAAGAGAACCAATGGCATGAATACATGAGGGCAAGGGAAGCATGACACAAACAGGGACCATGACTAAACTCCAAAATAAAAGACATGAAAACATGAACATGAAACCAAACCCAAACTGATGGACACTTCAGGCTCCCATGATCCTTTGCGCAGATTCTTTGCATGATGACGGCGCCTCCGTGTGGGCATGTGATGATGATGCAGAAGGGCACTTCAAGGAAAATTTGTTTGATCCCCTACACTTTTCGACCCTTCGAAGCTCTCACTCCGGAGGGTAAACCCTTTGAAGGGATTAGGGCATAGGGATGAGCCCTTCCGAATGGAACGCAGGGCTTGCTGAGTCTTGTTTAACTGTTGGCGGACATTTCCTTGCATTTTCCCTGTTGCCTGTTTTGCCTTGCCTTTGTGTTTTTTGACTTTGGACTGTTTCCCTGGTTTGTGATCATTTGCTGCCTGCCCTTTGCCTGTTTATTGGATTACTCTTTTGTTTGCCCAGGGACATTGTTGTTGGCTGGGGTTTGATCCTGCCTGTTTTGACTATGCTCTTTTAATAAAGCATACATTTGGATGCCCTACTCTGTTGTCACGCCACCCATAGCACTGAACATTATCCCAAATTTTGTATGGCTTTTTTATCATGAAATATATAAATAAATGGTCATGAAACATTTGAGTTCAATTTATTTTATGTGAGAACAGAGTGCAAAGGGATACAAGAGAAATCCAACGATGGTGACACTTTAGTTTTTTGGACCAATTCTAACTGTCAACTAACCATTAACTATAGCGTTTGCTGCTTATTAATATATACTAAGGTTCAGTAGTTGATTAGGTATGGGGCAGGATTAAGCTATCTAAAATATGGTCATGCAGAATAAGGTATTAATATGTGCTTTATAAGTACTACTAAACTTTGTGTAAACAACACACACTCATGGTGCCGCTGCTTACGTTGAACACGCATATGTGTCAGCAGGTATATTGGTCGTTTACATGAAGTGGAAGCAAGCACATGCATCATGATACTGTCTCCATAATGGCGGCGCGCCACAGCATACAGGGTGAGGAGGAGAAGAATTGTTGAATAAAGTTGTTATTTTTGTTTTCTTTGTGGACATAAAGTATTCTCGTAGCTTTGTAAAATTAAGTTTGACCCCCTGATGTCACATGGACTATTTTACCAATGCTCTTGCTACGTTTCTGGACCTTGATTGTGGTAGTAACCTTGCTGTCTATGGGAGGATCAGAGTGCTCTTGGATTTTATCAAAAATATCTTAATTTGTATTCCGAAGATGAATGGAAGTCTTACGGGTTTGGAACGACATGAGGGCGAGTAATTAAAGACAGAATTTTCCTTTTTGGGTGAACTATCCCTTTAAATGCATACCTCAGGTCTTTAGCAACCCGGGACGTCATTGACTACCTTGTCCCTCCTTATTTATTTATTTTTTTTAAGTTAGACATCAGCTTTCTTAGTATTCCTCAATCCACATGATCATATCATATATCATTATAAACAATATAACAAGAAAAAAAATTAATAACATTTAAAAGAATGTCTGTTTTCTGATTATTATTATTTATAATATTTTTTTGTAAAATGTGTATATGGTCGCTAGAGACGCGAGATGTGTAATAGTCTATGCACATTTCTCCTGCGCAACAATATTTAAATATTGTTGACTCAATACATGCAATTCACCTTTACCAATGTGGCATTGTTTGAGAGACAATGATGACGTGGTGTCTCACACATAATTACTGTAGGCATAAAACAAAAGAATATAATCAGCATAAATGTAACTGGTTTGAATGGATTTATTGCAAAACATTTATTGTATGCAATAAAATATAAATGTCAAGTCAAGTTACCATTATATATAGCGCTTTTTACAATGCAAATTGTGTCAAAACAGCTTACCAGTATTAAACAGGGAAATAGTGTGTCAAAATGGTGTGCAGGCCTCCACTGGCCAGGCGAAACCAGCAGTTTAATTCTAGGGTGCAACAAAGTCAGATTGTGCAGAGGACTCAGCTGGTTCCCGTGGTCTTGTCCCGATGGCCGTCTAGGTGATGAGGTCTTCGGAGGGGATCTGTTTTAGGGGCTCATCTAGTTGACATGGTCTCTGCTGACATTCAGGGCTGTCGAGGTCATCTCTAGGTGCTGATCCACCATCTGGTCTGGATATGGACTGGATCCGGGTGACTGCAGTAAACATCTGATCTGGATACAGTCTGAATCTGGTGGCTACGGTAACCTCAGAATAAAAACAAAACAGACTAATATTAGCATAGATATTAGCATTCTTCTAACGATGTAACAAGCACATCGGGTATTATGGGAAGTGTTCCCGGTTCCGGTTGACCTAATTAATGAAGCCTAACAATCCCTTAACTGATTTGAATTATAGAGATGTTTTAGTGTGTTGAGTTTAAGCCAGGTTAAAGAGATTCCAGAGGTTTTTAATCTATATTTAAACTGACAGATTGTGTCTGCCTCCCAAACAGTCTTAGGTAGATTGTTCCAGAGTTTGGGAGCTAAATAGGAAAAGGATCTGCTGCCCGCAGTTCATTTTGATATTCTAGGTGTTATCAGATGGCAAGAGTTTTGAGATCATAGCGGACATGAAGGACTATAATGCAATAAGAGCTCGCTAAAATACTGAGGTGCTAATCCATTTAGGGCTTTATAGGTAATTAGCAAGATTTTTAAATCTATACAATGTTTAATAGGGAGCCAGTGCAGTGTTGACAGAACCTGGCTAATATGGTCATGCAATATGTCTGGGTTCTAGTAAGAACTCTAGCTGCTGCATATTGAACCAACTGGAGTTTGTTTATTGTGCGTGCAGAGCAACCACCCAATGGACCATTACAATAATCTAACCTTGAGCTCACGAACGCATGATTTAACGTTTCTGCATTTGCCATTGAGAGCATAGGTCGTAATTTAGATATATTTTTGAGATGGAAAATTTGGTTTTACAAATGCTAGAAATGTGGCTTTCGGAGGAAAGATTGCTATCAAATAGCACACCTAATTAGCACCTCTGTTTTTTTCAGAATTTAACAGTAAGAAATTACTAGTCATACATTTTTATATAAACTGTGCATTTCATTAGTTTTGCAAATTGGTATGTTTCGTTGGTACGTTTAAAAAAAAATTGTTTTTGCTATTGCAGCAGTTAGATATCTGGGTTGCAAAAGACCCAAATATGTAATAATGATTGGCAGAACATTCATCCATTTAAGGTTTAAAATTGTAATCTATTGACAGCCCTAATGTAATAATACATTATATTATATCAAGCGTCCCTAAAACCCTACATATGGTAGTTTTCAAAACGGATGGACTGATTATATTATATTATATTATATTATGTTACTAGTAACACAGAAGAAACAAACTAGACCTAACATCCTTAGAAAATTTAAAACTGAGAACTGTCTGAAGGCTTCCTGTACTAACACTCTACAGCTGCAGAGAAGCACAAGAGATCCTCCATTTAGGTCATTTAGATTTAGTCAGCAGAATATGAAGCCAATGATTATGAGCAAACACTTGCTGTCAAATACGATATATGCACTGGAGCAAAGCAAGCCTGTATAAGCGAGAGAAAGAGCGGCCACTAGAAAACACAAAACTGTGTCATTTTATGCAGTTCCCAAACACGTGTGACCATCTTGTTTTCCAAAGCAATTTCTATGAATGTTTTACACAAATGTCAACAGGCATCACTATGACAAACCCTAACAGAGGCCTTGCTAATGCATATCAGCGTTACCATAGCGACAGCAATTTATAATGTTTAATGTGCATACTGAATAATTCAGTCATACTTACACTCTCATATCCTCTTACATCACTGTAATTTGTATCTCAGGGGAACCTGAGTACTGATTTTGTGATGTAATTATATCTCCATATTGTACCTAAATAACAGTACTTGTGTTTATTTGTATATGCTATGCTAGAGTAGAGTAGAGCACAGCATGAGCTAAGGCAACAGAATTTGTCAAAGAGACTGCAGCTTATGAGGGCTAAAACCATCACTAACGTTCCCATGGCAACCACATTCAAAAGGTGCATCACAAACTATTGCAGGCTCATTGTAATCAGGTTAGTAATGAAGACTGCAGTTCTGAACTGCACTTGATAGGTTTTCTGTTTCCATGCCCTCCCCCCACTTTATTCACCATAATGTCCTTTAAGGTAGTTTTCAAAGTGTTTTGTTGCCCCTGAGTGGTAGGAGTATGAAAAGCATTTCAAGATTTGGACACATGATCGTTTAGGAACATTTCATCCATCCATTTATCCAATTATGCCATTTATTTCATATGATTTAGTGCATTCTACAGAAAGGTGAATGGATGGATGGACAGATAGACAGACTCTCTGAGAACGTTTTAACATGTTTTTGTGTAAAATTGTCATTCTTTTTATTGATTTAATCACTGATTGATTGTTTGATTCATTGAA